CAGGATTAAAAAATATATGAACAAATAATTGTTTTAATAATAATGGACTATTTTTGCTTTCAATCTTAACAAAAAATGTTATTAATGATATAAGAGAATTAAGTACATCCATATTAATATGTTGTTTTGATGCCTAAAAATAAAAATCTAGTAATCATGATGTTCACTCTAAAAAAAATTTCATCAAATTTCTTGAACACTGAATCTTGCATTAGTCAAGTTTATATAATTATATCATTCAACAACAAAAAAACTTTTACTTCGAAATATAATTGCTGTAATTTTACTTTAGTTCTTCAATGAATATCATAGTAACAGAAAAACTAATTTTCGAATTTCAACTTGAAATTATGAATAGACACAGGTCTTAAAGGGAATAGTTTTTTGTGTGATTTTAAATACATACTTTTCAAGATGATATCCAATAGCGAGAAAACCTTTTGATATTGTATTGGATATGATCGTTCAATTAATTCACATAAAGTTGATATAAATATTGAACAAACATTATAATTAATTGAATCATCTATTGGTTGATGATCTAATTGTCCATCTTTCACGAGATCAGATTTGACAAATCATATGCAGTAAGCAATACAACTTTTGGAAGGTCTATCTAATGCAATGAATAAATACTTGAAATTAGACATATGAAAGTATTCTGTTTCGAATACTACGAATATGCAGGCATTTGATATTCATTGGCATGAATATTTTTATTGAGCAATTGGTGAATACTATTATAGTTTATCTTTGATTCTGACAGATTTCGGAGATTCAGGATTTCTGGTTTAGGAAGCATCAAAGCGTAGTCTGCACAAAACTCAAGCCTATCTAATAATTATTGTAATTCATTAAGATTCATTTTCATCTTAACAGAGCAACCATCTACTTTTCAACTGACCTTTTTAGAATTCGTGTTCGATGAATACTACACATCTGAAAAATAATACGACAATTTTTCAGCAAAATTATTTCACTCAACATTCGTCGACTTCGTATTGGATAACTGTGTGGTTTATTCAAGAGAAAGTCCTTTAATTTCAACTTCACAATTTGATTCGAAAGTAAGAATGGTAAGGAAATCTACAGTTACATATAATAAATATTCTTTCAATTCTTTACTTGTAGTCGTGGATAAAATACTGGATTTTTAAACTGGTTTACTAACGATCTTCGAAAGTTCTTTTGTTGCCTATCTAAATGAACAAATAAGATCAAATAGTTCCTTCTTTTCATCAGTTGTTAATCTTCTAGTTTAAATTTATTGCAAAGGAAAAAAATCTAAGTTCATCTTTTATATTCTTGTCATCAACAATTTTTAATTTTGCTTGGTGTACAAGAAAAATTAAACATTGATTTGTTGAACTTCATTTATCAGGACAGTTGTTTTCTCTTGAACGTTCTCAGCCCATTGAGCTTTCGTTTTGGAGCCTGCTATAAGTTCTTTTGTAAAGTCCGTCAAGAATTGCTGATGTTCCATCACCTTTAGTTATACATTTGAACTGGAATTCTAAAGAGAAAGAAAAAGAATTTATTTAAAAGGAATGACAAAACATTATCTAGTTGAATTTTTAAAGAATACCAAAACTGTGTCAGTAGTTTGGACTGCCATGGAAAGAATGACGGAAGTTTACGTACACACAGAATGACCGGTAGAATAAAAATGAAGTGGAAATATTTTTTCTTATTCAATGACGAGAAAAAAGAAAAAGATTCAGCCAGCTAATACGATCAGTCAGAAATAAAGTGTATATTTCTTTTTCTATCTAGTCATGACCATTGACTATTTAGAAACAATGTGATAGAGACGCTTTTGTTTATAGACACAAAGAACAACCGCCTAATTCTCTTTGACAACTTCTCGAATCAAATAAAAAAAATAATATTTCGAAGAACTAAGAAAAAATATAAATATCAATGAATCCTCATTGAACTGAAGCATATTTTCAGATTCAACGGAGTTTTCTTATTTAGATCGATAGCAGTAATAACAATCAACTTACTAGTTGAGTTTGAGCACTTGCTTGTTGACCTTGAGATGGAATGATTCGATTATTATTGTTATTTGGTCGTTGATAATGACCAGCTTTTGCGCATCCAAGTCTGAAAAACAATGATGCTATCAAGTTAAACAATTTAACAATATAGAATAATTTAGTTACACTTGCGATTGATGCTCGTAAAAGACACCACAGGAACATGAATACATTTTAATGAGAAGATACTTGAATCAGTTGATTAAACAAATATCTAAAGTAAAAAAATAAAATACATTTGTCTCCTATCAACTAAGTATAAGTGATACTGTGTGTTCGAACAAAGTATTCAAACCTCAAATCTATTGAAAGAATATCGATGGATAGATTATCGAAAGTATACGATATGTTTTCAGATAAAATATTTCTTCATTTTCAACTCACTAGAAAGTACTAGACGGGTCGGAAACTTTCCATCATGGTTTGAATTCTATATTCTGTTAGATTCTAATGCTCCAACGATCCCAAGATAATTCATGTTTTTTATTTTCTCCTTTGTTGACAAAAAGAACCTTGGGCAATACAATGGTGTGATCGCAATACCGATTAAATAGATAAAATGAACTGGTGTGGGTGTGTGGGTGTGGGCGTGGGTGAGGGTGTGGGTGTGGATGGGTGTGAGTGTGGCTGCGGGTGTGGGTGTAGGTGTGGGTGCGGGATGTGATTCTTCTCTTTGCCTACACCCACACTCCACACCTACATCCACACACACACCCACCCACACCCACACCACCCACCCACACCCACACCCACACCCCTGTAATTTCCATTCTGGTGGGTATACAAGATTTTATTTTATAGTAATAATATTCTGGTAGTTTTTTGAGCCATTTCATATAGTAATCGAACCTATTGCAATACGTTGACGGAAGAGAAATCTTTAAGATAGTTTTACATATCGATATTCATTGGTATAGCCAAATGTTTGTTCAATAATTTCAATGAATAAGAAGAACAATAACTTTATTATTATTAATATTCAACCAAAAGTCTGCGAAGCTTTGAGATGATTATTAAATCTTCGCTATTATCTTTTTAAGCATCAGTCAAATGAGTACTCTATCAAATCGTTTTGAAAGCCAATACTTCATAAAAGGAATAAGATAGTATAGATTAATATTGCTACCATTAGTTTGAAAATTTCGTCTCAAAAAATGATAACCAGTGTTGCTTTGTCTTTGCAGCAGTGTTCAGACTTTCGAAAAAGGAAATTTCGAAAGTTTCGGAGATTTCAAGCATTTGTGATCGGAATTGTACGTTACTTCCTAAAATAATGTAATTTCCGAAATTTCTGAAATTTCCACAATGACGTACTTACAGAAATTTCTGAATTTACAGAAATTTCTAAAATTGCTGAAATTCCCAATATGTCTAAAAACTTTTGATTTGCACTGCTATATAGTAATCTAGCTGATGGAAATTTCAGAAATATGGGTAATTTCCTTTTTTGGAAATCTGAACATACCTCTGTCTTTGCGCATATTTCCAACACTTTGTTTGATCCTGAATATAATTTCATCGACGACCTACGCTCAGCAATCGTTTTAAACAACATTTAATCTGATGTCTCAAACAGAATTTTAATCTGCAACAGTAAAGAATGATTCGTTCCCATAGAGATCACTTTTTCTTTACCGACCGATCTAGCTTTCTTTTTAGAAGTTTTTGCATTTTTTTTTTCAAAAAACAAATATTTTTTCATTTAAATATCTTTTATAAAAGAATCAAACATAATTTCTTTAGATCTATTTCAAGTCATTGTAACTCAGAGCTTAATGTATATTTCAATAGACATCCAAATTATGAACAGAATTGTCCTAATGTGAACTTCTGACAGATGGTTTCAATTGGCACCTTTT